GAACCTTAACGATATTGTACAGAAAGCAACTGACAGAAACTCGGAATAAGACGAATAGTTATGACATTTTTATTCAACCAATGTCGATTACACATAAGTCTTCACGATTTATCCTGGTACTACAAAAGAAGTTACACGGATCCTAATAGGGTGTGTGATCACCACGGACAGCAATACATGCTCTGCAACGCGATCCCATACTCTCCACGAGGTTGGTAATGAGTTCCTGGGGCAGGGCATTCCACTCCTCAATCAGTGCATTTGACAATTGCTGGATCGTCATTGGTGCATTTGGTCGTGCTAGCATAATGCGTCTGCAGCTCTGAAAAGACGGACATGATGTAGAGAACCTTCGTCGCAGTAACGCTGACTGGTGAGGGTTCCATGCTCAAAAATCTGGAGGTCAGTACGGCCATGCAACATGATGCCTCCCCATACCATAACACCTCGACCACCAGAACGATCACGTTCGACAATGTTTCCGGGGGAGTTGCGTGTTCCCACCTCTCGCCATATGAGGGTGCGTCCAGAATCACTGCTCAGACTGAACCTGCTCTCATCCGAAAAGAGCACACGGCTCCATTCCTCATCGGTCCATTCGCCATGCTCCTGGCACCACCGTAAACGGTCTCGCCGATGCGCGGGGGTCAAAGGAACACAACGTAACGGTCGTCGGGCGAAGAGACCACCCCCATGCAGTCGTCTTGCCACTGTAGTGCGTGAGATGGCTTGCCCTAGAGTCCTGTTAAACGTCGTTGCAATAGCCGAAGCCGACTGACGAGGATCTCCCTATGATCCTTCCTCGAGTGAAGTCATCCAGATGCTCTCTTCGGGACATGATGTATCGAAGGATACTACCACAGTTCTTTGCAGCTACTCGTTGATTGAGAAAAAATTTTTTTCATACCCATAGACTGCCTCGATTTGCGGTCGGCCATATTTGGCACTTTATTCAAGCTCTTCTTCCACCGAGAAAAGTCTAGCTTCCTGTGCATATCCCTTAGGCGAGTGGCAACATGCTCCCACACTTTCATTTACTTCCACCCAGTCATTAGTGTTTTATGTTACTTATCCATCTCGTCCTAAGTATTTCCATTGTAGGTATAAAAATTTGCGGCAGCTTTTCTTCTTGTATGGATAGAGTAATTCTGGTGAGTAGTTAATTTTGGAATACTAGAGCAACAAGATTGGGGCGTATTTCTGTGTTTAATGGATTTTTGAAGGAGGGGTTTTGAAGGAGCATGTCGCGCTGGTTCCAGAACTTAAAAAAATTGTCTGAAAATATGTGAATCGTGAGTGCAGGTTTCATATGAAGATGGTTCTGATTTTACAGGTTGCTATGAATGACGATTCTTAAAAGCCGAGATATTCATGTTTTTGGGGAGTGTCTTATGATTTTGCACCGCACTGTATAATCACTAAACTAACCGTCAGAGATCTGAATGAAGCTCAAACTTATCATCACATTTGCAGAGGATTATTCAATCATTCAATCCTATCTGTTGTTTTTTGTTTCTGCTACTCCTTTCACTGAAAAAATCTGCTGACTGCAGTCGGTGCCTTTGACTGAGGGCAGCAGGGTGAAAATCGTGTCGAGTACGTGGTCGCAGAGGTACGACCCCCCCCCGAAATCGAGATCCTGGCACGACCCCCTCTAACAGAGCAAATTAATTCAATTAAAATAAATCCTGCAAAACAAATCAAAAAAAATTCTGCAAAATAATGCTAAGGACGCTTCATCTTGTCATCTATGCACGTCTTCCATCGCTGCATACTTTTGTGTACATACTGAAATATCGACTCGAGGAAAGAGGCATTAACTTTGTGTGACCTCAAGGCGAGGTTCGTTCAGAAACGCACAGAAATCCTGAAGACACGGGGTTGCGATTCAATCTTGATTCTTGCTTGAGTATATCAAAACAGCCGAGTGTATCAAAGGCCGATTCAACGGCAGCTGCGGCGCGATTGTCACTGGGTCAGATTTGCCGAAATTTCAAAAAAAAAACGTCCGAATCTACACCCTCGATGAAAAGGTTGCATTCCTCCATTTCACAACCTTTGAAGCAGCTTGAGGTAGAGTTAGATAGAGCTGGATTTCGCGTTTCCAACAAGCATCGAAATTGCTCTGGAAGCCTTCCTTGCAGAAAGATAGGGTCTCTCAAATTTCGTCGAGTAAATGTCGAGGAGGCCGAAATTTTCACGCGAGTTTTTGCCACTTCAAGAGCAATATATCTCTTATATTGTAAGATCCTGAAAAAGGGAAGATAGTTTTGGAAAGCGGAAGGTTTGCGCTTCCTGATGGTCTGTTTAGTTTTCTTCTACAGCTTTTTGGTTGAAGAGATAATTGCGTCGAGGATCTATCGAGGTCGGATCCGGCCACCTGGAAATCCGCTCCCTCATTCACCATTGCAAGTGTGACTCGTTGGCAACACTCGGAATGTGTCTAGAACAATATCTTTGAACGCAAACAATAAGAATAGGAGCAATCGTCATCATCCGATTTGGTATTGGTATAAGCCATGCATCCCTCCTCCACTCACAGTTGCAGAATCGATTGAAAGGTGTTATATGATGGGGACCTTCGAACGAAACTGTATTGTAGTAGACATAGTGTGTTGTGCTATTCCTGTAACCTAAAAAACAACTTCATTTGCCCAGCGCTTTTTCTTCACGGTTGTCGTTTTTCCGACAGGGTCCCTAACAACAGCGTCATTCTCAGCGAGGTATTAAGGGAGAAGGAGCGAGTGATAGGCGGAGGAGGTGCCTTTGCAGCGCGTGCGCACATGTGGCACTCTTCTTTGCGGGGATGCACTTTCATTCTTTGTACTGCCTTCAAATACGCCCTTCTCATGAAGGTGGAGGAATGGAGCGACTGAACCTGCAAAGAAAATTTAATATCATGTTTTTTTCGGATGTTTTCATTTTCTGCTGCGCTATACCCTATTACCTATCTGCACCATGATACCACTTCTGTTACTGACCCCAAGAGTACGACCCCCCATGGACCAGCCCAACAGGTACGACCCCCCTGTCGAGGATTTCCTCGACCGATATTCACCCTGGTTTTGTTCGGACTGAGCTGGTCAGTTGTTTTTACCGTCCTAAAAACTGGTTGACTGACCTATAAGAGGTCCTGACCGACATGAGCATTACCTGTCTGTCAGAATTAGATACAACAGTGTTTTCTTTGCACAGACTTCGAGATCTATTCCTCCCTCATGCTTGACTCCTACATCCTCCCTTTCTGGACCGAATTTCTCTGTGGTCACCTTCTCAGTAACTCGTTTCTCCTACAGTGCCCTTCAAAGCGTCAAGTGCGACAACCAGTTCATGATTTCTGGTCGTGTGTGTATACATTCCACACAGATTTGGTGTCCTTCACTCTAATGCGCTGCCACCTCTCGTTCGGCTCAGAAATTTTTATCAACAACATTGAACACGAAATAGTGATAGAGCTTGTTTTACACATTCCCATCTAAATTGATAGCAGCCAGCACGACAACGTCTGGAAGCCGATTTTCCTTCTAAACCAGCAAGGGCGGAAGTGGTGTAGTGACAAGTGGCGCGCTTACCACGCGAGCGGTCCGGGATCAAATCCTGGGTCGTGAGTCGCCCGGGCCAACCAAGCCTTCCATCCCTCCGGGGTCGGTTAATTGGTACCAGACTTGTCTGGGAGGATAAAAACACTGACTTGTATCGATATGGTCGTGCAAGTCATTGCATAGGCAAAATCTCATTCAATGGTTTTTACGATTCTGAATGGAACTGGAATGCGTGGCGCATCCCAAAACCAACGCTGAATGCTTAATCCTTCGTGCTTTCACTACTGCAAGCTTCTCATATTCATGGTATTTACCGTATCTCAGCTGAAGTCAACAGCTATTCCAGCTTGTTTACAGATGCTGGCATTTTCACATTCTTGACCTATCGACACATAGATGGAATTGGTGTGTACGGGTAGGGTTACATGGTGCTGCGTATGTGTCATCTGATAGTCAGAACGATTACGTTCGTTTGACGTCGTGCACTCACCAGAACTCGCCCGCATCGCCCCGTCACCTCTGATTCCACCTTTATTTGCCATCGGCCAGATCAATATAGACGCGCAATTATACAATTGACATACATATTCATTCATTCGGTCTGATATGAGCGCTTAGGGTCAACGAATGTGACTGTACTACCCAGTTGTACTGATCAGTATCGCCTGACTCTTCAGTTCTCTGAGACTTTTGTACAGTACTTTTTGTTTGTAAGTCCTGAAGACCATCTCTACTTGTTGAACCATAAAAGTTCTTTCGATAGTAGTGTTCAAGTGCACTCTGGTGCTATCATTGGCGCCCTAAAAACGCGATTCGTTTCAGTTTTTCAAAGTGAATTCTCCCTTTGTTTCAAGATCATTACAAAGCAGTTCTCGTCCAAGTTCCTTTGTCTTGTGTACTATTATTTTTGCATGAAGTTGCCTTGAAACCAGTTTTGGCACGCATTGTTCTCCACCTACGATTCTCTCCTTCAATTGATACCCACCTCTTTTTACAAGGGCTAACTGTTTTTCTATGACAGAGCCGTTGGCACTCGTCCTAGGGGACATTACAGTTTCACATTACATTACAGGGGGACTTACAGTACTCAAGACTGACCATAAGCCTTACAAGGGAGGTCTTTCAGGGCAAGGTGCGCTTTTTGGAAACGGTTTAGTACATGTTGTAGGGACGCATGTATGGACCACAAAACCATGTTTCGTTTTCGCTGAACGGTTTTAGTAGTACCAAAAAAGTGGTGAATAATACTCTTGATGGTTCAATCCCCGATCGACTAAATTTTGCTATACGATTTC